AAACATTTGTCGAACTGAATGTCTGTGACAAGGCAACCAGTAATTGTTTGTGTAAGACATCCGAACCTTTACAGGGGATGTCCACTGCGGGCGGTAGAACAGACCTGAACCCAGTCGACTTCTCCGGATGACGAGAGAACTTCTCATTGTCCAAAATAGCTAACAGGCATAGCAGAATCACAATAGGGGCCATTTTCCCGGACCAGCACAGCATCCGGATAGGCGCGCAAGCAGGCCCGAAACGTGGAGGCGCTCCGGTATCTCCGCGATGACCCCGGTGCAAAACCTCCTCAGCACAGCAGGATAGGCGAAGCAGGCCCAGCTCGAGGCGTAGAGGCGCTCCGGTCTCTCCGCGATGTCCCCGGTGAAGATCCTCCTCAGTACAGCAGTACAGGATAGGCGAAGCAGGTCCAGCCCGAAACGTAGAGGCGCTCCGGTCTCTCCGCGATATCCCCGTGGTAAAACCTCCTCGGCACCGTAGAGCACGACAGGTGGAGCAGGTGGATACAGGCCTCCGCTACAGCAGGTGTAAAGCAGGCCGCAGCCCGAGCGCGAAGCCGCTCCGGTCTCTCCGTTACGTCAAAAGAAACGTGTGTGTGTTTGTGTATATAATAACATTTATATAAATAAATGTGGATAAGTGGAGCTGCAGAACTCTGGATGTGATTCTCTCTGAAAGTGTGATATACGATGTTCATGAACTCATGTGAAACTCCGCCTCGGACATGTTGCGGTCTCATGAACCCCCGTCAGCTCGTCTCTGATCAGTGTCCCAGTGCAAAGGAGGAGCTCACCTGTTATTCTGAGAGTTATTTCCCTCTGCATTATGAACGCGCATCTAACCCACGGGACCGCGCCGCCCGGCACGTTCATGTTACGTGTTCAGCACTAGTACATGCGTTTATCTTTACCCATGGATGTACAATAAGAACGGACCCATATCGCCTTACTGCCAGCCCACGGAGCTGTAATAATGGATATATTGCACATGTTTGCTGTATTTCATCATTTGTAAAATATTATACTACATGGGCTGTATGATTAAATCTTGTACCGTAAATGTTGTATTAAATAAAGTTAATATTACCGACGTAGATTAACGTCCCTGTAGCTTCTTATTGCACTAAGAAGCTTATTGCACTGTATATATATATACATATATATATATATATATATATATATATACAGTGCAATAATTCTTTCATGCTAAATGAAGCTCTGTTGCTTGGATATCACTAGATCCTGTTACAGCGTAATATAAAAGTACATAACGATTGATGTGTAAATTAGCATAATTACTAGCTAACCGCTAACTGCCGCCTCGTTAATATCAAATCTATCATAGTAACAAACCATTACCATGCTGTCATGAACGTGTGGTGCTGTTACGTGTACGCAAATTGACGTGCTTGATGTGAACGAGCATTTTGGGGGGCATGGTTAAAGTTGCGCATGCGCTATGAGCGCACATACGGGTACTTCTCAGGCATGCCGGGTAATCTGTGACGTTTCGCTCTCTCAAAAGTTGGGCCATTTTATCATCATGCGCGAATGAGCAACTCTCATAGGAATGAATGAGGCCCCGCCTCCCACGCTGTATCCAGTTCTTATTATACATCCATGGTATCCTCCCTTTAGTCTCTACGGTCTCCTCCCGCACCCCTCCTCCCTCACCCCTCCTCGGTTGCGGTCGAATACTCCAAAAAAACAGCTCCTAAATTCTAACCCTATCGTCTATTCCTTGACCTCTGAGTGAAACGTCATGGGGTTAAGGGATAGTGGATAGGAGAATTCAAAAGGACTTAGGAGAAGAGACTGCGGTAATTTAGAGAATCCGACTGCACTTTCACTATCCGACGTGTTTATGATGCGCCAGCGGAGGTCATAAATGTGCGTCTGCTGCTGTGTGGAAACTATGGAAACTAGGTTGCGGTCGAATAGTCCATTTAGCTTAGGAACCTTCCTAACGGAGTGAAATGACCCGGAAGTCCCTCAGTGGCAGCCATGATAAGTGCCGTTCGAATTCTCTAAATTAAAAGGAAAGGAGGTTTCAAACTTCCTTTAGCTTAGGAACCACTGGACCTCCCTCACCGAAAGGAGAGGAGAAAATGCTGTCCCACAATGCCTTGCGGCCGCGGCATTTGCCGTCACACAACAGTCGGCCGTTCACGGAAACAATCGATTATGAACGAGAAATGATATCATGAAAGTTACGGTGCTCATTAAGCATTTTAAAACGTATGTGGTAAGTTGCCAAAGTGCTTTGTTTTGAACGTTCATCAGTATTATAATCAAAAAGAGAAATATGAACGTTAGTTTTTACTGAAATGATCAAATAAAGTCAACATTTCAGTCTTTACTGAGCTGTGTGGGGTTTGTTCAACTTTTAAAAGATGTTTGAATGGTGATATACACAGTGATAGATGTTAAGGACTAACGTTTATAATAAATACATTTGTATTGATTTTAAGATCTTTTCATACAATCATACGTATTGGGATCATTTGTATTAATGTGGACCGGAGGGAGAGGGTGACGAGCATAAGTTTCACTTTCCTTTTTTATTTCAATTCCAACTTTGGTCATGAAGAATATGTTTCTCTGTTGTCCCCGTTCATAAAGCATAACAGCATCAGAGCACGGTGCAGAGTCTCTAGATGAGTTTACAGTAGTCCCTCGTTCTTATTAAACATCCATGTTGTAGTCCGCTGTATAGAAAACTGTAGTTTCCATAGTTTCCCCACAGCAGCAGGCGCACATTTATGACCTCCGCTGGCGCATCATAAACACGTCGGATAGTGAAAGTGCAGTCGGATTCTCTAAAGTACCGCAGTCTCTTCTCCTAAATCCTTTTGAATTCTCCTATCCACTATCCCTTAACCCCGTGACGTTTCACTCAGAGGTCAAGGAATAGACGATAGGGTTAGAACTTAGGAGCTGTTTTTTTGGAGTATTCGACCGCAACCCTACAGTTTTCTATACAGCGGACTACAACATGGATGTTTAATAAGAACGAGGGACTACTGTAAACTCATCTAGAGACTCTGCACCGTGCTCTGATGCTGTTGTTTTATGCTTTATGAACGGGGACAACAGAGAAACATATTCTTCATGACCAAAGTTGGAATTGAAATAAAAAAGGAAAGTGAAACTTATGCTCGTCACCCTCTCCCTCCGGTCCACATTAATACAAATGATCCCAATACGTATGATTGTATGAAAAAATCTTAAAATCAATACAAATGTATTTATTATAAACGTTAGTCCTTAACATCTATCACTGTGTATATCACCATTCAAACATCTTTTAAAAGTTGAACAAACCCCACACAACTCAGTAAAGACTGTGAAATGTTGACTTTATTTGATCATTTCAGTAAAAACTAACGTTCATATTTCTCTTTTTGATTATAATACTGATGAACGTTCCAAACAAAGCACTTTGGCAACTTACCACATACGTTTTAAAATGCTTAATAAGCACCGTAACTTTCATGATATCATTTCTCGTTCATAATCGGTTGTTTCTGTGAACGGCCGACTGTTGTGTGACGGCAAATGCCGCGGCCGCAAGGCATTGTGGGGCAGCATTTTCTCCTCTCCTCTCGGTGAGGGAGTTCCTAAGCTAAAGGAGGTTATAAAGGAAGTTTGAAACCTCCTTTCCTTTTAATTTAGAGAATTCGAACGGCACTTATCATGGCTGCCACTGAGGGACTTCCGGGTCATTTCACTCCGTTAGGAAGGTTCCTAAGCTAAATGGACTATTCGACCGCAACCCTCGACTCCTCCGTGTGCATTTCAGCTATTGGGACGTCCTTCAAAATGGCGTGTCTTGATCAATTTCCGGGTCAAGTCCCGGAGGAGGGGAAGAGAGGAGTCGAGGAGGGGTATTGAGATGAGGCTACTGTGGGGCAGCATTTTCTCCTCTCCTTTCGTCAAGGGAGGTCCAGTGGTTCCTAAGCTAAAGGAGGTTGTCACTGTCACTATCCGATCTGTCCCCCTGCCCGATCTGTACTGCGCATGTGCGAGATGGTCCGCCATATTTGACAACTACATACGGCAACTCTAATAGGACAGTTGACACAGTGGCTTTTGGCAAAGCAGAAAAAGAACCGAGAGAGATGAGTTATTGTTATTACAACGTGACTTCACTATTATTTAACAACTCTTTTTATTGGGTTCTTTTATTTGGGGTTAAATACATTGTCAGAATAAGTGAGAAATGGATTTAACTTCTGTTAGACAGCTATATGCCATACATTTTTGCATACATTCACAGTAAATATTTATTCAGTATGATAGCTGATAACAGAACTTTAAATCCATTTCTCACTTATTCTGACAATGTACTTAACCCCAAATAAAAGAACCCAATAAAAAGAGTTGTTAAATAATAGTGAAGTCACGTTGTAATAACAATAACTCATCTCTCTCGGTTTTCTGAGTTTTCTTTGTGTGCTTTGCCAAATGCCAGTGTCAAGTGTCCTAGTTGGGTTGCCGTACGGAGTTGTGCAATATGGCGGACCATCTCGCACATGCGCACTGCAGATAGGGCAGGGCTGCAGATCGGGTAGTGACAGAGGTTATAAAGGAAGTTTGAAACCTCCTTTCCTATCATCTTCTAGAGAATTGGAACGGCACTTATCATGGCTGCCACTGAGGTACTTCCGGGTCATTTCACTCCGTTAGGAAGGCTAAATGGACTATTCGACTTCAGCCTGGATATATCTATATATGGGATTTCCCTCAACATGGCGCACTGAAATCCATTTCCGGGTCACTACTGGAGGACCGAGGAGTCGAGGAGTTGAGGAGACGGAAATTAGATAAATTAGATAAAGTTTTTTGCCCCCTGGTGCCCAAATTTAAATTACTCATGCAAGCTACGATCCTTTGAGAGACATCGTTGACGTTCCATATTCATACATGTTGAAAGAACTCAGAACTTTTACTGGCGTAACAGTAGTAAGTGGATATTACATACATAAATTACAAGAATGTAAGGTTTCAAACTGTTTTATTGTCATACACTGAAATAAATGTAATAATAATTGATTAATGTTAAAAGTATATCCTCCTGCTATGATGGTTACAAAAAGTTAAAGAATAACAATTACAAATAATAATGACATTATTACTGGATGAGTTCATAAACAATTTCAATAATGGTCAGGCCCTAATTCACTGAGCCGAGGAACAAAGGAAAAAGTATAATAATCCAGCAGCTGAGGGAGCAGGAACAAACAATGAATGATGGCTGGAGGATCATCGACACCACAGTATCACAGCTTCAGTCATATTCAGCGTCTTTGCCTAACCTGGGCCCTTGAAATGGACGTATGTTCTTCTGAACCAGGAGCTGAAAACAAACAGGAGAATCCATCATCATATTATGCATTCAAAATATTTTGAATAAGAAAATGTTTTGAAAAAACAAGTCATAAAGTAATGAGTCAGCAATTTACCAATTATGGTTCCCTTGTCTGGAAGTCAATTTATTTGAATATGTTTGTTAAGCATGAAATAAGTTCTGTGGTTAACACAAGCTTAACGTTTTGTTCTATGGCATAAAATATATCAGTAAATCCCCCACTGGTGAATGTCTGAAGCTGCTAAATCTTGTAAAAATGCCAGTTTCTAATAAGTGACTGAATGAGACTACTAAATGTCATCACCAGGCTTGGAATTTCATCATTTGGCCTTTGGTGTCACACATTGTTTTAAGGCACAAAGGCCATTGAGGGAAACATTTGGATTTGGAGCTTACAAATAAATAACTTCACTTTTTGATAAGAAAAACACACGAATGACATGGAAAACCAATCACTTTTTTAATATCAATAATGTCAAACATTATATCATCATATAGGCCTATGCCTCCTTAGTATTACCGTATATAAAATGAAAGACTCGACTTTGAAAAAATGTGTGTTTGGTATGTTTTCTATCTACTACTTCTCCCATTCACAAATCCGAAATCAAATCAAAAAACCAAAAATTCTATTAATATGTAACAAATATATTCAATTTCAGAGCAGAAGAAACAGCCTTCAAGGGTCAAACTCTGCACATACACCAATCAGCAGTGCACAGTGAAGCTCAAACATTCAACTGTATGAACAAGCAATACTTTGAAATGCAAAAGTCTGTGTGTGTGTGTGTGTGTGTGTGTGTGTGTGTGTTTAAAAGGTTTTTCGCTGTCTGCACACTTGTCAAAGCATTAATTCATGGTTTTTACTAACCGTGAACAGTATGTAGTTACTTCGGCATCATTTTGAAACGTGTATTACAATTAAATCACGGTAAAATATGTTAATTTTGTTGTAGTTGGTTTCTACCACAGTATTTACATGGATATAAGCCCCGCCCCCTATCCAGCGCGTCCTGTTTGAATGACAGGAGTAAAGACAGCTGACAGCCGCGGTGAAACTCCAGCGATTAGAGCAATGCGAATATTCGCATCGCGTCCGTTGTGAACGCAGCATAATGCAGTTCAGAGACCAGACCACTGCTCTGACGCTTTTAAAGCAACTTCGAGATGTTAACAGTGTGAGGGGCACAAAGGCCATGGTGGCCGTAGGACACAATTATTTGTTGGGCATAACGGCCAGACCGAGGGGCAACGACGGCCATGGCCGCCGTGAAATTCCTACCCTGGTCATCACGCATGACAATAGTGACATTCAGTTTAGCTGTGGTGATGCGCAGACATGACTGAAGTAGTTTGTTTATAGCCTAATAATTTAGTTGCAAAAATCATAAAGTGGTGTTCATACATGGTCTTATTTTCTGCAATAATTCTAAATCCAATGGAAAGATCCCTAATTATTTGTCGAGGGAGCCCTTGCCATGTTAACTTCCGGGTTGGCCTAGAAAAATCTATCATTACTGCACCACTCCATTAAGGAAGACTTTAACATCCCCATTACTTGATGATAAAGATATATATATATATATGTTTTAAAGGTACCTTTGCTCCCTCCAGCGTGTGAGGGTCTTTCTGAAGTGCATTGTTCAGTCCTTCCTCTGTCGTGAATCCAACCCAACAGAAGCCTTTGTGGAACCCTGTTTCTTTATGCTGGTGAAACACACGCAATCCAGTAAGAAATTGCAGGGATGCTCAGAATGAAACCAAACGTGTTGATCTGTGGGATGGGTAACTCTCTCTGCATTTTGAAAACCATACTGAAGAAATTATGAAACTCATGGCTGCCTGTAAAGACTTAACATTTAAACATCTAATATGTCTACATTTGAATAGTAATAAATGGATAGGAAAAATGTTCATTAGTAACAAATGGTTTTCTTCAGTAGTACAATTTCAAGAAGTTGTCTGTAGTTACATTCATCTGTTCATTACATTCATCTATTTTGTCATTGCAAACTACAAGTCTACAACCAAAACAAAGCTGCTTACAACCAGTGCTGCAAACAGAATCAAAGTTGCATATGGATATACAGAAATCAACTAATGTGCAGCATGAGCAATAAACTAATTGGTAGTAGAGTAAAAAGGGGTGAAGCTGGGATATGAAAGGGATGGATAGACCCAATCAATATATTAACAGTAAATATTACATTCCAATGCTGTGGCAACTTACAAATGGAAGCAGACACTTCTTCACAGGACCAAACTGTGCAAAGTACTCCTTCATCTCCTCTGAAAAATAATAAGGAACATCACATGTTTTCAGCAAATCACAAAAACCTTTAATTTAACAAATCATGTTTTGAGGCTTGAACTACAAAGAATGCTACAGTATTATTGAAGCGTGTAATTTGAATTTCTTTTTTATCAGGGTCAGTTTTTCAAGCACACCTAGCTTAAACTACTCTAGTCTGATATAACGATCCTGCACTAACTAGAGCCTTAATTAAGAACAGTGTTGCTGAAACTGATTTAGGCTGCAGCCACACGGAGACGATACGGGTCGTATCCGCTACAGTTCTCTATCATATAGACCAGGGGTCGGCAACAGGCGGACCGCGATCCGGATCCGGACCCAGACGCCGACCTATACGGACCCGGACCTATAATCAATACATTAATAGGGGATTTCAATTTTGACGGGGCGATTCTATTTTAACCGCTGCCGACAGGGGTCGAAAGAGACGAGTGAGCGATACAGGGAGAGAAACACAGAAGAAGAGACGAGAGAGCGGCAGAGAGAAGCGGAGAGGAAAGTGAGTGAAGAGAAGAGTTAGCGATACAGGGAGAGAAGCGGAGAGGAGAGTGAACAGGCGTGTTAGCGGCAGACGGGGAGAGACACATATTTACACATGGCGCTCTCTAAGAAGAGGAAAGTGGACAGTGAGAACAGAGATTTTAACCCTGAGTGGACTCATTCATGTTCATCCTGCCCACTGGGAGCACAGAGCCAGTGTGTCTCATTTGTTCAGAGACCGTGGCGCTCATTAAAAGTGCCAATGTGAAACGCCACTATGAGACAAAACACAAAGTGTTTGACCAAACATTCCCTCTCAAGTCAGAACTGAGGTCACATAAAATAAGCAGTCTCAGAGCCCGATATGATCAGTCCACCAGGATCACAATTAAAACTAAATATGGTTCCAGGGCAGGCTAACCGAGGCTAACCAATGAGCACCTGCATGTGTGTATGAGAATGGCCCTGACACCATTTCAGTCCAGATTTACAAACTCCTGGCAGGACAAGCTCAAGCTCAATTCTCGCACTGAATAAAACAAAGTGAGTGAGGGACTGCAATATAAGAGGGAAAGAAAGAGAAACTTTAAAACTGTTCAATTGTTATGATGTGTAAAGACTGATATTGTTCTATAATCAGCTGAAACTGTTAAGTCACGATGTGAAACGGTTAACAAAGAAAAAGAGAAACTCAAGCTGCTGCTACACTTTATTTTATTTATCTAAAATTAAGCACTTTTAAGATGCACACATTTTCAAAAGCTATTTTATTTATTTTCTCTATTTCATTTTTAAATGCAGCCCGAGAGGAACATTACACCTATCCACAGTATTTACTGTATATCTGTATAGTTCAATGTTAATTGACAATAAATATTGTTGTTTATGAATTGTACTTTCTTTATTTGATTGGCAGTCAGTTGTTGATTACATGCAGACGTTGATAAAGCTGCAGGCTACTTCAATATATATCACACTAATTCATAAAGCAAGTTAGACATTTTGAAGTTCCTGACCTTTGCATGGGGAGATTTTCTCTAACTGGACCTCGTTAAATTTGAGTTGAATACCCCCGATATAGACGGTTCGGCCACACGAGGCCGACAGGGAAACGCAGAAACGATAACGATAACGGGTCCCAAGGTGGGTAGATCTGCAGACGCAATGCTCTGGGGGGCCAAACGGCTCTGTGATTACGCCCAATACGATTATACGATCATTTCCTGATAACGAAAATACTGACGGGCTGTCAGCAGAGGGGGAGGAAAAGAGAGACTCCGTATATTATTCTTATATTATTATATAGAGTCGTTATTCATTTGTTTTCAAGCTCAATAAATAACAAAGAAGACCTTTGACCGGCACTTTTATAATTTTGTTCGGAAGATTTACATTACATGTTACTTGTTAGACACTTTTATCCAAAGCGACTTACATACTCAATACTGTGGGCAATCCCCACAGGAGCAATTTGGGGTGAAGTGTCTTGCCCAGGGACACAACGACATGCTGACGCCACACGCCTCCTCCTAATTTAAACTCTAACGGACATGTTGACCGGCGGAAACAAATTCTAACGGAAACTCTGGTTCGCTCGTCCCTTGAAAGAGGCGGAGAGGTGGGTGTTTTTCATCTGCTGGTGGACTACCGGGGAGATTTACAGCAGGAGCACACGCTTGCCTCGGGGAGGGAGAAAAAGAGCCAGAGCTTTTTTGATATCGAATTCAGTTAGTTTTCGTCTCTGTGTGGCTAGGGTCTTAGAGAAGTCTCGATTACTGAGGTTATAGTTTTGGAGGATGCAGCTGTAGTATTAAACAATAAAGTTCACAGCAACACCATTTAGAAGCTTTTACAATTTGGGGTTTATGGCAGCATTGTTATATAAACTGTATTGGACTGGTTTTATCTAAGTGTAATTAGTAAAGTGCAGTGGTGGAAAGTAACTAAGTACATTTACTCAAGTATTGTACTTAAGTAATTCTTTCACATAATTACACTTTACTTGAGTATTTCCATTTAATGTTACTTTATACCTCTACTCCAATTCAGAGGTAAATGTTTTACTTTTACTCCACTACGTTTTTTGTAATTTATTTATTTATATAATACATGCATGCAAATTAGTCGCTTTTCGGGGCCTCCTGCTTTTTTAACGCTGATTTGGATGACTTGTGTAATTCGTGGAGAACCGAAGAGTTTTTGTTTTGGGGGAGGGTGGGGGGGTCCGACTCACGGACTGACGGACAACTTCTCACTTCAATTTTTTTTTAAAGGGCCCATGTCATGCTTTTCCGGTTATTACCCGTCCCCTTGTGTGTTATGAAGGTTTTTATGCATGTAAACGGTCTGCAGAGTCAAAAACCCTCAAAATACACCCTGTAGCGAGTAAAACTCTAACACAGTCTATGCTGCCCCAAAACGCCTTGTTGGAGATTTCTCATTTTCCATTGTTTACTTCCTGGGTACTGTGACGTGTGCATACCCAGAGGCCACACCCGCTGCCAGCATTTCACGAAAAACAAAGCTTCACAAACCTTTCAGCGATTCATGCCGGATATGTACAGCGTAGGGCACTGAAGAACGATGCTGTTCCTACTTTGTTTGGACCAGCGGGAGTTTCGGGTACACAACCTGTAAGTATTCATTGTTGTTTGTGTATTTATGATGTTTAAAACAAACAAGGTATCTACCACGACTGTTTAAATGGGTAAACGTTTTTCGGGCTGCTAAGCCAATGACACAGTGCTAACTGGGCTAACTAAGTTGCTAGTGTTAGAAATTAAAATTCAATGTTTTATGGCATGATTTAGTCTAAAACATACCGTCAGTTTAAAAGCAGTCAGATGAAGAACTTATTACTTTTAGTATTGTGTTCACACCTTAAATGGTGTGAAAGGAGGGATTGTTAGAAATTAAAATCAATGTTAAACAGCATAATTCAGTCTAAAACATATTGTCAGTTTAAAGCTGTTTTATTGTGGAAAAGCCCGGAAGTTCTCAGGAAATCAATGCCAAGCTTTTATTCTGAAAAATCCTTTATCCGGTTAGCTTGTGACTAATGTTGCGTTTTCTGAATGTAAAGTGAAAATGACTTGGAGTGTTACACACAAACGTACGGACTTTAACACTACATCGATAGACGTTAAGATATTATTACTGCTGAATATTAAATGAAGGTCTAGTCGATCGTAGTGTTTACAGATACGTGAGAAGCTATGACGTCAGAGGGAATTTCCGTAAAATAAGAACTGTGCCGGAGCGGAACCACTAGGACTTCTAAACTAAGTATTACAGCTGTTTATAAGGTATTAAATAGAAAGTCATGACAGAGATAATGAGGAGAAAATGCTTAAGGAAGTAGGCAGAGAATATCAATGTCGAAATCATCTGTGCTCTCGCGATATCGAACCGGCAAATGAGTAGGGGGCCACCCACTATTTGCACAGCGGGGGACAACGAGACGTGGATAAAAAGGCAGGACGAAAGATAACGCGCTCTCTTCCCTTCGCTGCAGCCTCCCTCAAGACAACACCGGCTTTGTCTCTCCATTCACCATGCTTGTTCTTTAACCACGTTACTTAATTAAACTACCCATTTGAACCTTTTCAGAGACTCCATTAGTCTCGTTATTTTAAGTTTCTTTCCTGGGAGCGAGAAGATCACAAATTATCAACACTAGCGTTTCCATATATCAACTCCAATGTCAGCAGAGGGACTTACATGTATCTCATAGCAGGAGAATGTCTGCATTCACACACGAAATACTCTAAGACAGTATACTCCGGGTGATTTACCGTACGGTCAGTCGCGAAACTTAATTACATTATAGTTGGCGTTCCTAGCGTGTATGCTACCGAGCTAAAAAAGAAGGCTACCAAGAGCTAGACATGAGTTTGCTAGGGAAAACATTGTTTTTATGCCAGCTACAATGAATGACTGAACGTAGCAGACTACCCGTATAAGATCGCAATTGTAAACATGTTCTTGCTAGCCTAATATGAACCACTAGCTGTTGTTCATAGTAGGTTGGCATATTACACTGAACAACTAGCAAACGTAGGTTAGCATATTAATCTAGCTGGCAAGCTAACAAACCTAAAACAACTAAGTTTCTCTAATATTTTGTGATTTGCATTTGATTTCGTCCAGCCAGATCAGGAAACTCCTGGCGTATCTGGCGGACAACACACACACGGGATGACCCACTCTGATGCCTCGTCCTAAAAAGCCCCAGCACCAGCTTACAAAGCTGCGATAGGCAAGATGCCAAAAACGCCTATAAGGGGAGGAATGGATGATATACAGTAGGGCTGTGCAATTAATCGTATTTTAATCGCAATTACGATTTTGGCCTGCCACAATTACAAAAACAACATAATCGAAAAAAAAAATTATTTTGCTTTGCTACAGTGCACTGCAACATATTTGATCTAATTAATTTCGGTCTCATTTATTTGTATTTATCATATTTATATATGTTTAGTAGCTTGTGGAAGTGCGCTCCAAAATATTTGTTGATCTTGTTTATTGGTATTTATTATTTTGATATTGTTTATTTAAATGTATCATTTATTTTTGTATTGGTTTTTCAGTTGAATTATACGTTCAGGGTAATCAACAGTTAAAAAGATACTGTTCAAATTATTGTTTGTATTTGTTTTAAAGTTCAATAAATGGATTTTTTCAAAGTCAATGAATAATCGTATTTAATAATCGTGATATCAATTATTGACCCAAATAATCGTGATTATGATTTTTGCCATAATCGCACAGCCCTAATATACAGTGTATATATGTATATTTACACATGTTCATTTTGTACATTTCTAAAAATAAAGTTTGATGGAAATACTTAGTAGCCTTTCTTCCCTGAATTATTTGCTCCCATAACATATCATTGTTGATGTTCCGCTCAGAGCCGAAAAAAGCACTGTATTAGACATGGGCGGAGCCTCTCTGGTGGTTGACTAATCAGAACAGAGTGGCCGAGCTGACCAATCGGAGCACACTGGGCTCACAGGGAGGGAGGGGGGGGGGGGGGCAGGAGCTCCAACAAGCCGTTTAGGACAGAGAGTGAATACCGGTGAATACACATACTTTGCAGAGATGCTGTATGAGAAACCAATGTGAGTTTGGAAAATTGCACAGTATAAATCTATTTTAGTATACCTCAACAATGGAATTATGATCAGTAGAAATGGCCATGACATGGGCCCTTTAAGAAATCTAGACCGCAAAATAATTAAACAAGCGAGTGCCTGTTTTTCCTGGCCAAGGACAGGTTCCTTGAACACAACACGAGCGTAACGTGTCATCACGTGGTGTAGTGTTGACGGAGAACACCGGAACCCCGCTCCAGCACTTCAAATATTGCAGTACCCATAAGGAGCCGTACACATGCCGCAGTTTTTGCGTGGCTGTGTCTTTAGTTGTAAGCCCAGTGGCGATCTGTTTAAGAGGTTGCTTTTTCTTTGCACAGCATGAAAGAAAGGCGAAATGAATGGGCTGTGATTTTAGTTTTTTTAAGCAGAGGTTGAGTTCAATAATTTGTACGGCCCTCGGAGGATGTTGTAAAAATTGAAATGGCCCTTGAGAGGAAAAAGGTTCCCCATCCCTGGTGTAAATAATAATAAAAAACCCTTGATTTATAACTTAACATCTCTGTCTCCTATTGATATGAGTATATTATAAAGAATAGCCAGTTAATTGAAGCATTATAGCACAGGCCTTTGTCAGATGGTATATTACGCTGTTTTTTTTCTGCTTGGAATAGTTCTCTCTTTTTTCACCATACGTGTGTTTGCATCCCTGATAATACATTTAGCTACTTTACAGATTTGGATTAATGATGTGAAATATAATCAAGTGTTAAATCAGACTTGTAAGACCTGGAGTAAATTCACAAGCTACCTGCAGTATACCAAGTCGTTAAAATTAGCTGCACCTTTACCAGCTTTGAGAACACTTTAATTATCAATAATTAAAAAACATATCATATATATTATTCTGAAATTGACCAATCTGCACAATTACTACTTTTACTTTTGGTACTTAAAGGATATTTTGATGATAATACTTTTGTGCTTTACTTGAGTAACATTTTGAATGCAGGACTTTTACTGTAACAGAGTATTCCTTCTCTCTGGTAATTCTACTTTTACTCAAGTGCAAAATATGAGTTCTTCTCCCCTCTCTGGTAAACTGCATGACTGTTTTATAAGATGCCAAAAGCATGAAAAAGCCAAGCTTGGACTGCAGACAGGTCATGGTGTTAGCATGTTGGAGCTCATGCTGTCTGCTAGCCTCACCAAACCACAGTATAGAACCATGTTCGTAGTCACGTGAGTGGCTACACATGCATAACTATCTACGACTACTCATGTATAATTATTAGACAAATTGAATATGCTTACTGCCAGCTAGGGTCCATGGTATTTTAGTCACGAAGACCTCGAACACTTTCTTAGAGGGCGCCGCCATGTTGTTTCTGTCGGAAAGCTCCGTAAGTGACGTCTGAGGTGAAAGTTCATCTACGTCACAGCCAAGATGGCAGCCTCCTCTGTGGTGCGGGTTAGCATCAAGCCCCCAGGAAGTGCGCCGGACTCTGATGAAAATATTCGTGCTGGCCAAACGGCGGTACTACACTTCCTTTTGGTTGCCAGGCCCGGAAACACTTTTTCCCATTGACTTACATGGGGAAAGAGTGGTCTGTAAATCGTTGGATAATTTTTTTTAAACTAAATAAACTACCCAGTATGAACACTTGTATAGCCCTTATTAAAAACATTCGTTCCTCAAGTTGTAAAATGTGCTAATAACGTTATTCTGAGAGTTATTTCCCTCTGCATTATGAACGCGCATCTAACCCACGGGACCGCGCCGCCCGGCACGTTCATGTTACGTGTTCAGCACTAGTACATGCGTTTATCTTTACCCATGGATGTACAATAAGAACGGACCCATATCGCCTTACTGCCAGCCCACGGAGCTGTAATAATGGATATATTGCACATGTTTGCTGTATTTCATCATTTGTAAAATATTATACTACATGGGCTGTATGATTAAATCTTGTACCGTAAATGTTGTATTAAATAAAGTTAATATTACCGACGTAGATTAACGTCCCTGTAGCTTCTTATTGCACTAAGAAGCTTATTGCACTGTGTGTATATATATATATATATATATATATATATACAGTGCAATAATTCTTTCATGCTAAATGAAGCTCTGTTGCTTGGATATCACTAGATCCTGTTACAGCGTAATATAAAAGTACATAACGATTGATGTGTAAATTAGCATAATTACTAGCTAACCGCTAGCTGCTAACTGCCGCCTCGTTAATATCAAATCTATCATAACAAACATTACCATGCTGTCATGAACGTGCGGTGCTGTTACGTGTACGCAAATTGACGTGCTTGATGTGAACGAGCATTTTGGGGGGCATGGTTAAAGTTGCGCATGCGCTATGAGCGCACATACGGGTACTTCTCAGGCATGCCGGGTAATCTGTGACGTTTCGCTCTCTCAAAAGTTGGGCCATTTTATCATCATGCGCGAATGAGCAACTCTCATAGGAATGAATGAGGCCCCGCCTCCCACGCTGTATCCAGTTCTTATTATACATCCATGGTTAGCATAGATATATATAAACACTAGATGGCTCATGGGAGATTTTCCAGCGTAGCTCACTGGCCGCCATCTTGCTACAGTCAACAGCTACTCTGGTACGCGCTATGGTAGCTGTTGTAAGGTGAGTGATCTGCACAAAAATACTCTTAACTCGCTGAAATCTTGACTGATTTACAAACGGTTTGGTTTATTATAAACATTATTAGCAAGGCTATGATACAAGATGCTTGGACATGTTGAAATAGCAGCTTTTCTTTGTGTATGTGTGGTTGTATTTATTAGCTGGCTAATAACAAGAGGCTGTGAGTGAGACCTAGTATTACAAAGTTGACCAAGAACCCGTGGAATCACCTTTCACCTGTAAGATATGACAATATTATGACTATAATTAGGATAATCGTTAATTACGTAGTGGATGTATGTACATTACAAGTCCTGCTACACAGGATCAGTGGGGCTATGTGAGATAATAGTATTGCAAGATTGTTGTTGACCCAGCCTCTTTAGAATATGTTGCTACCATTTCTTTACACAATTATTTAATGTTTCTTTTGGACACCTTTTTTATAACTCTTAGTGTAGTTGTCTTATTCTTAAAGTATACATACATACATACAATTACCCCAAAAATATGATAATTTCGGTGTGTATTTTTGTCCTTACCCTTAATGTTAAAGGAAAGAAGGGAGGAAAATGTTGACAATAATTGATATATCTGGCTACCTTTCTCATGTTTTTAAGGTTTCCCAAAACCGGAGAGAGGAGGAGGCAGTGGGAAGTTGCCCTAAGAAGGCAGGACACTGCTCTGCAGTGAGCACTTCAGTTGTGAGGACTTTGACAGGACGGGGCAGACTGTCCGGCTTAAAGATGGTGTTGTGCCAACAGTATTCAACTTCCCAGCTCATCTTCAAAGGGTATGTGTATCATTGGCCAACAAGAATTCAAGGTGTATAAGATTGATATATATAAATATGTGATTAAATGTCACACTTTAGTTTTTCTTTCTGCAAGTTTAGGAATAAATAATGTATTGTGTATTACAGCACATTTTAAACACTCAAAATGTCTTTAATTATGTTTATTTTAGCCGGAAGCAACAAGAAGCACAACCACTTCAAGAAGAGCGGAAGATGAACCTCAGTCTAATGTTGTGAGTATTCTGAATGTGGCCAAGACCAGAGAGATGGTCATTGATTTCAGGAGGGTGAGGACGTCTCCTCCTCTACCCCTGTGCATTCTGGGAGAGGATGTGGCTGTTGTGGAGGACTACAAATACCTGGGAGTGCACTTAGACAATGGGCTGAACTGGAGGATCAACACTGACGCTGTGCACAAGAAGGGGATGAGCAGACTCTATTTTCTGAGGAAGCTGAGATCCTTCCACGTATGCAGCAAGATGCTGGAGATCTTCTATCAGTCTGTTGTGGCTAGTGCACTCTTCTTTGCTGCGGTCTGCTGGGGGGGCAGCATCAGAGCCGGTGACACCAGCAGGATCAATAAACTGATCAGGAAAGCTGGATCAGTCATCGGCATCAAGCTGGACCCCTTTGAAGCTGTGGTGGAGAGGAGGACACTGAACAGGCTGTTGTCCATCATGGATAACCCCACCCATCCTCTCCACCTGCAGCTGGACAGACAGCGGAGCTCCTTCTCCAACAGACTGCTGCAGCTCCCCTGCCATAACTCTGTACAATAAATCACCTCTGGCTGGAAGATAACTCTCTGCTCCATAGATTATCTTGAATATTACCACGTTGTACATTTTACACATATATAATCTGTTCAATATTTAAAGGTGGGGTAGGTAAGTTTGAGAAACTGGCTAGAGATACACTTGTTGTTATATTCCATGGAATGCTCTTAACATCCTGATAGCAATGAATATCTGAAGTGCTTTGACAACAAATCCATAAAAAAATGTCATCTGTGGAAGCCGTGGTACTGTAAAAAGCACGACCAATCATCTGAGCCGGCCCGGCTAAAATAACTGGATGGCCTACCTGCCTGTCAGCCTTCCATCTGTGCACAAACTTATCTCGTGCCCTCATTGGTCATGTGCGCGTTTGTGTGTGTTGGAGGAGGGGCTCTGTGAGGAAGTAGCAGATTTTTTCCGGCTGTGTATTTTCAAATTCTAGCGATCTCGAGCTGGTTTCTCCAAAATTACCTACCCTATCTTTAACATTAATATTCCATATGCCTTATATTTATGTATATGTATATTAGATATATATAATATCCTGCCAAACTCAACATGTATATTATTTTCCTCTTTCTTTATTTTCTTTATTTTTCTTGCTTATTTCTAATTTATTGTAAAATGCCTTGTCCCTTATGCTGCTGTAACTAAAAATGTTTTCCCAAATTGGGATCAATAAAGTACCATCTTATCTTATCTTATCTTATTTGCATGTGGAATGTCACTAACAAATGAGAGCATCATATGGCTTGTCATATTAAATCCTTTATCTCGGTGGTACCCAGGAACGTCTATGATGGTGTTACTAGGAGAGCCCAATATCATTTGAGCTGGTACTCTGTGTAAAAAGTTTGAGAACCACTGGCCATCTCACTTGCTCTATGTCACTCATACACTTGAATAAACATGTGCAAACATTGAAACTACACCCAGGGGTTGGCAACCTTTACAATCAAAATAGCCATTTTTGTCCAGAGCCTCAAAACATATTTCTGCCTTTTATAAGGGGACAAGCCTATTAAGATCAATTTCTTAAAAGTACGCTGAGTTGTGTTTTCTGTTGGAGAACGTAACATTTTTTTAGGAGAATAGAAACCACACCAAGTTGTTCTTAATAATACATTTATTTTGGGGGGCCGCCTTTCATAACACCCAAGGACACCTTACAGGGCATAGGGGCAATATAGGGAACAATTAAAACTGGATTTAGTGAGATATCAGCCGGGGTAAGACAAACAACAGTAAATGGACTACAGAAGGACACAAAATGACTACAAGAACTCAGCGCACCGTGCTGTGAAGTGGTAACGTATTTCAAAGGTTCTGGATTTGTTTACAAATCTAGAAACTAAATACAAAACTAGGACGATATGAAGATCTCATGTCAAAAATAATTGTGATAAATGTGACAGAACTGGCCTGTCTGTGGGCTCATTTTATGTTGGTTTGGTTCTTCTGATAAAGGTGTGAATATCTAAATAATATACCACCATATGCTATTGTCATTAGTTGTGTCCCTGTTCTTCAAGCTAAGGCATTGCTAAATTAACAACTCTTGGCTTACAGAGTGGTAACATGAGACCGATTTTTATATATAAAATATAAATATATTTTAATTTTATAATTTATTTTAAATATTAACAATATAATAAAATAAATGGAAATATATACACTGGCAAATATTTAATATAAATACCTTGTGTGTGTGTATAGCTATTGCTTTATCTGCTTAATGTTATTTTCATATGAAAGTCCATGATTCTAAGTATGCAGTATCATAACTACATCTTTGATGTTTATAAAAAACCAAACCGTTTGAAAATTGAGCAAGCTATGGTTATTTAAATAGTAAACCATAATGTTATGAATGAGAGCACTGCCTGTACCAAGATGGCGGCCATGTGGCAACGTCGGTCTCCATTGGCCAGCAGCGCGGGTGAGTCATCTAGTGTTTATATATATCTATGCGGGTTAGTGCCATGGATGTATAATAAGAACGGTTAGTGCTAGATCGTATACCTCCTGGGTTTTAGGCGGAAGTGACGTAATCTGCCACCGAGGACAAGAGACGACGCTGGCTGCTGCCGTCTTCACACAAATAAACCCCTTAAAACCTGTATGATTTAGTTTTCACATGTTTATTGAAATGAATTCGTCCATCTCTATATATTATAGTATTAAATGTATTATTTTCGGTTGTGTATTTGTGTTTTGAAGGTTTTTTTTGGATGTTGCGATTTAATTTCTCCAAGAGAGACAAAAGATCACTAAAAGATCTGGTGGATATCTGACCAGTATTTCATCATGGAAGTT